CTTTATCGCTACTTTTGTGTGAGAAAATGTTTTCCCAATTAGTGATCTTTCTGTTTGTTTTTAGTAATGTCTCTTTTGCTGTACAGAATGAGCTGTGGAGCATTTAAGTGGCTGTCAGCCTCAGTGCACCAAAGAAGTGCAACCACAGGTTGGTTCACATGTTTATTTAACAAATAACTTTAAAATCCCTACATGGTACTCAAAATTAGAGCTAGTCCACCAAACAAAAAGGGGTCCCTGCTTTAATAAAGGTAAAATTCTACTGAAAAGACATAAGTGAAAAGAGGTATTATAGTATACAGGCACACAACCTTGTTTTCAGGAATAGAACAGAATGTTTGCTGCTGCTTGTCAGAAGTATAACAAAGAGGTGGGTGGACATTATTGCTGCATTGCCCTCATGGAATTTAAACTTTCCATTTTCCCCGAATCTTTCTTTCTCAAAAAAGAAAAACACCGGTTTCATTCATAGCAGGAGTATAAGGGATGAGATACACACAAACACACATGTATAGACATATATACACACGCACACTATGTAGTATACATGTGTGTATAGTATATATAATGTATTATATATATATATATATATATATAGTAATTGTAATAAAGTAAAAACGAGCATCAACTAACAACTATAAACCAGAGACATTCTCCCGCGGAGGAGAGGGGAACAGGATCAAAACTGGGGGGTGGGAAGAGCACACATGACTATGGTGACAGCACATGGGTGAAGTGGTGGTGGGAAGTCCACGGGAATTACAACTGAGATGGGAAAATATACAAAATGAAGAACGATATAAAAAATATATATATATAATTTTAAAAAAATTAAAAATCCAAAAAAAACCCCAAATCTTTTTTCTTTCTCCTCTTTTGAGAGGCAGATATAAAGCTGAAATATCCAAAAACAATTATATGTGGGAAAAATGATAAAGTTACCAGGCATGCACAGGGAAAGAGGCATGTTTAGGAACCACCAAGAAGACATTTCAGTTTACACCCCACAGGCTGGTTTTTGATAGAGAGGGCTTACATCAATTTGTTGTTTTATTTTTAATAACAATAAAACAAAAACAATAACAAACAGCAAACCCTTCAGATAGGAGAGAATCTGATTTCTAGTGTTACCATGTCATCTAATGCCATGTTATCATTCAAGTGCCCAGTTATTAATAAAAAAAATCACCAGACATACCAAAAAAAAAAAAAAAGGTAAGTATGGCCCATTCAACAGAGAAAAATAAATCAGCTAAAATTGTCCCTGAGAAAATCTGATGGCCTATCTATGAGACAAAGCTTTAAAACAAATGCCTTAATCAAAGAAATAAAAACTTGTGGACTGTGAAGAAAATGATGTCTGAGAAAAAAATATATCAATAAAGAGAACCCTAAAATGACATTCTGCAGCCATCTGAGAAGGTAGAAGAATCACAGAAACAGAGTCGAAAGTCGGGGGAGGGAGGAGACAGGACAGTAGGGAACTGGAAAGAGGCAGCAACATGTGACATAGTTCCTGTTTGAACTGCAGATAAATGAAAGACAATGTTAATGTAGATATTAAGAAAAAACTTATGTGACCCTAAAACATTGTATAGTATTGCTGTAAGATACTGGGTTGTCTAAAATTTTGGACATTTTTTTCTATGTATTTCAAAAGGTCTAAAAGGGAATGAATGCTCCAAATTTATGGGATAGTGAGCAATTTTTATTTCTTGCTTATTTAATCTTTCTAAAACAAGCATGCACTAGGGAAAGTCAAGTTTTTAAAGTTAAGATAACGTAGAAAAAACCCTACAATCTCAGGGGAATCTGTTCTAAATTTATAGAAAAGGGATGACAATAGAGGGGAAATGTTCTCAGTCTAGTCTTATTCAGAGCTAGATCTATTAAATAACCAGTAACCTAGGAATTAGCTGACTTAATATACTGGTGGCGGATTTTAGTGCCTAGGTTTTCATTTCAATTGTAATTAAAGCTTTCAAAAGGTTGCCTTTTTCCCATTAAAACAAGTGGGATCTGCTAGATTATTTAACCTATCCCTGACTGATTTAAAAACATTAACCCAAAATTTAACGAATGCCTCTAAGACTTATGATTCCTCATTCTAATTAGTGCAGCATGCCAATGGTAATGCTGTGTCTTATTAACCTCCACCAGAGAAGACAACTATGCATGAAAGTAAAACTAAAATTCCAGCTAGTGAGCATCGTTCGGAGATCACAGTCATAACGAATTCCTTTAAAACTGTCACCAGCATTACACCAAGATAACATGGCCAAAGACTGATTATTCACAACCAGTTAACACAAAACTCCGAATGAAAAAGAGCAAAAGCCCCAGAGCTGAGTGCAATTCCTTATGAAACTTATCCATCTTCTACCCCAGTCCCTTCCTGGTGGGTCTTTTTCTATACAACTGACGCAACCAGCCTTCCTCCTCCACCAGAAGCCTCCAAACAGGACAGCGAACGAAGTTCTTTCCGGAAAGTAGGGACCTGGCCCCGCCCCCTGCCGCCCCGCCCCC